GGGGGTTGACGTCGAGCAGAATTGCATTCAACCCGCTTTTGCCTGAAGATAAAGAAAAAGCAAGGTCGTTTTAGTCAAAATAATAGGAAGTCTGGGCCACGAAAAGAACTTCGACAATTTGCAATGTTATGATAATAACAGTATTGAAATTTATAGCATACCACTCATGATTCCGGCTTGTACGGCGGCTCCGTAGGCAACGGCTTCGTCAGGATTGATGCCACGGTTGGGCTCCTTGCCATTGAACATGTTCTTGATCAACTCTTGCACCTTGGGAATACGAGTAGACCCGCCCACGAGCACAATTTCATCAATGTCAGACTTATCAAGACCGGAGTCCTTCAATACCCTTCTTACGGGTATCAGGGTTTGTTTGAACAAATCTTGATTGAGCTCTTCGAATTTGGCTCTGGTAAGAGTCTCTGAGAAGTCATTACCTTTGTGTAGTGACTCGATCTCTAATTTAGCCTGGTGTTGTGAAGAAAGAACACGCTTCGCCTTCTCGACTTCACGACGAAGTTTTTGCACAGCGCGATCATCACCAGACATGTCTGTTCCGGTCTTCTTCTGGTAGATATCCATAAAGTGTTTTATCACACGTTGATCGAAATCTTCGCCACCCAGATGCGTATCACCGCTAGTAGCTAGTACTTCGAACACACCCTGGTCCATTGTCAAGACCGAAACATCGAATGTGCCGCCGCCAAGATCGAAGACCAAAATATTCTTTTCTCCTTCCTGATCATTCAAACCGTATGCAATAGCAGCGGCCGTGGGCTCATTGATAATACGCACCACATTCAGTCCAGCGATGGCACCGGCGTCTTTAGTAGCTTGCTTCTGTGCATCATTGAAATAAGCAGGTACTGTGATAACGGCGTGTTTAACCTCTTTGCCCAAATATGTCTCTGCAGTTTCTTTCATGCGTCCGAGAACCATAGCTGAGATTTCCTCGGGTGACAGTATTCTCTCACCGATAGCTGTGTCCACCTTAATCCTTGGCTTGTTTCCAGATTCAACTAGATCGAAGGGAAAGTACTTGCGATCATGTTGGACAGTTGCATCATCCCAGTCACGTCCGAGCAACCGCTTTGCATCGAATACAGTATTTTTCGGATTCGAGGTCAGCTGATTCTTAGCAGCATCTCCTATTAATCGCTCTCCCTCGGCCGTAAACCCCACATACGAAGGTGTTATCCTGTTGCCTTGATCGTTGGGTATTATGTCTACCCTACCGTTATCGTAGATAGCAACGCATGAATAGGTAGTACCGAGATCAATGCCGATTACAGGCGTGTCATATCTATCTCCATGAGAATCCCCTTTGTCCTGTGCGCTCTGTGCTAATGACGGACCAGCGAAACACAGCGCCAGTAGTGTGAACACTGTAAATAGTTTAATATAGGAACGTTTCATAATGTATATATGGTATAGTATAGATATAGTTGTTGCAATGTAGTGCAATGTGGATTACTCACTGGTATCATTAAGAGCGGGTATTTATCTATAATAGGGAATGCGTTTGTGCCTTGTAATAGAAATTTGCGAGTGCTTTTTAGTTCGTAGACGTTTGTGACAAACTGTCGATTGACAAGCTTTTATTTTTACAATATTGTTTATTGATGAAGAACGATGTGATTATACCAAAAGTATTGGCATTTGACAGCAATATGTGAGAGAAGCTCAAAGGAATCAAGTTGGCTCACATCCCCCACAATAATCGTTATAAAAAAATTGTACATGTTTTTCTTTCAACCGTCGTAGCAATCGGGAGAAATCAGGAAAATTGTATACTATATATTTATATTGTTTTTTTGGAAACACAAATAAAAGCACAAAAAATTCATAGACACTTTTTTTTTTCCTGTACATATGTAAATATTATTTATAAAAAAACAAAACAAAATTTTTATATGCATTTATTTATGTAAATAGCTATTTTTGTTTTAATAAATATGTACAAATGTACACCCACTTACAGTGTAAAATGTAAATATGTATATATATAAAAATACAATGTCTATCTTTTAGAAGGCTAAATAAATGTGACAAAATACATATATCTATTTTTTGTTTTTGTTTTTAAAAACATCCGTAAATATTTATCTTTTTCCGACAATGATTAGACTGTCATATATAAAAATTTGATCAATTTTGAATTTAGAGGAGGCGATTTTTTTTTTTTGAATATAGTAATATTACATATATATATATGTCTTTTATATTATAAAAATGTCTTTTATTTGTTTGTTTTTGTTTGTTTTTGTCTTCATATTCTGTAAAAACAAATACAAGAATACGTATGTAAGTATTTATTTACATATTTTTGATATTTATCTCTGTATTTATTTACATAGGCATGTCGTTTATAATGATTTATTTTTCAAATAAAACAGACTACAGGACTCCCCAAGGGGGAGGGCAAGTGGACAGATGAAGGGGTGTTATTTATGTAATTTATTGATTTGTTTTAAACAAAAGACTCAAAAGAGTCGAGACCCAAAGATGTCAGACTGTCAGACTGTCAGCGGTGTAAATACATATTGTTGTTGACATTTTAAAACAGCAAATAAAATCCGATACGGCGTGAATGTCGTATATTTTAAAATCAAACAAATACCAGCAGGCAGCCGCAGCCGTACATAACTCGGTCAGATCTGCTCGAGACCGCGAGCGATGAGAGCCAGTCTCAGACTCTCAGACTCTCAGTCAAACTCGAGAGCTAAATAGCGTGACGGCAATCAAAGCAGGACAACATTGTCTGTCAAGAAGGCTATGGCAACATGCAGATATATAAATACATACATACATACTATCTTTTTTCTAGAGGGTCATGAATAAATTCCATAAAGAAACGGACGCAGAACTGAAAACTAAAAGTGTCAGAGTTTCAACAGTCAGAAGTCAGAACTGAGAACTCTGAAGTTGAGATCAGATAAATCAATTATATATGGCTAGAGCCTTGAGAGCAGCGAGCTGAGACTGTTACCAAACTGATTCAGGTGAATAACAAATAACAGAAATATT